CCTAAATCTGCCCTTTTCTAGCTTAAAGCCATTACCCCTCGTCCTGTCCCTCCAAACCCTTGTGAACAGTCCCTCCCCTGCTCTCCTGTAGCCCCTCTCAGGTACTGGGAGGTGTCTATAAGGTCCCCCCAGAGCCTCCTCTTCTCCAGGCTGAACAGCCCCAACTCCCTCAGCCTGTCCTCACAGCAGAGCTGCTCCAGCCCTTGGAGCATTCCTGTGGCTCTCCTCTGGACACTCCAACAGCTCCACGTCCTTCTGGTGCTGGGGGCTCAGAGCTGCCCCAGGTGAGGTCTCCCCAGGGCAGAGCAGAGGGGCAGGATCTACCAGGCTAAGAAGCAGAGATCCAACAAAACCAGGTGCTGACAGGAGTTGAAGCCCTGGAACAAGGAGGTATCAGAGCCCCAGGTGGGATCTTGGGACCTGCTCTGAGATCTGTCCTGCTACAGCTGCTGTTGCTGGGGTTCTGTGGCTGGATAGACTAAATGGAGCTTGGGAAAGATGTCATCACACTTCTGAACGTGGCATCAACACGCCCAGCCTGCTCACACAGTGCTGCAAACAGGCAGCCACTTGCCTGAAGGTGACATCAGTCATGTGCACAGAACACATATGAACTGTTACAGGCAAGGAGAACTTGCCCCCTTTTGCAGGAATCCAGCACAAGTCCTGCAGGGAAATCACTGAAATGCTACAAACTCCAGAGCACACCAGTTTTGAATGGTTGAAGCTGTTACTTCAGCCAACATGCTCCCCCAAAACACACATTTAATATGTGGATACTGATAGAAGGAAATGAGGAACAAGAAGGAGATCAAAAAGTAGGACAAAAGGTACTGACATTAAAAAAAGTCTGTCCTTCAGCTGCTGATGGGGATTTATAACAATGAGTTCCTCCACTGCAAAGGGCAGATGAGGATAAGTGGCATTTCTGCTGGAGAGAGACTCTAGGGATGCTTCCTGCAAACAGGGCAGCCTCCAGAACAGAGCAATAGCTCCTGAAACAGTCAGGGTTTGACTCCTCACAGACTTCTCCAGGCCTCCTTTTACACTGAGATTTCAGCTCTACAGATACATCTCTTCCCAGTCCAGCTGTGTTGTACAGTATCTCACCATCTCCCCTTGGTGTCCAGTTGCCCATCTCTGATGAGCCAACAGAAGTTATGTCCCCCTCAAGTCTTTCTATTTATTTGACCAGTCAGCAAATTCTGATTCCCCAAAATGATAAATAAAGTAGCTTTCAGAGTGGTCACACCAGCAGCTCTCACAGCAAGACCTAAGCAGGTTATAAACTCCTTCCATGGCTATTTGCAAACTATCTGTCTATGTCTGGATTCCTCTCTGACATGGTGGGTAAGACTCCCACATGTACATGAGTTTGAAGCAAGTCTAACTCCACCTGAGTGCTGGGCAATAGTCATGCCTCAAAAGCAGGTAAGTCACCATAGAATAGAATCATAGAATGGTTTGGGTTGAAGGGACCTTTCAAGGTCATCCAGTCCAACCCCCTGCAGGGAGCAGGGACATCCCCAACTAGAGCAGGGTGCTCAGAGCACCACCCAACCTCACCTGGGATGGTTCCAGGGATGGGGCAGTGACCACCTCTCTGGGCAGCCTGGGCCAGGGGCTCAGCACCCTCAGTGTCAAAAAGTTTCTTCCTTGAACACCAACACCACGTCCAATCCACAGGGATGGAGTTGAGACTGAGATGTGCAAAAGCTCTATGGCAAGGTTTCACCCTGGGATTGGCCATTTCTGCAAGAGCACAAAATGTCTCTGTGGAATTGAAATAGATGTTGGAACTGAGGTGAAACAGGAACTTGGAGCATGTCAAAAGGCAGACAAAGCAAAGCATCCCTCTCCAGTCATCTGGAGACCTAAAGTAGTGTAAAATCTGCTGTTGGAACATCTGAGTAGTGTGACACAAGGACATCATACAGCTAATGGGTTTCAAGAGACAGGATTGAAACCCAACATTTCAAAGAGGAAGTATTTCAGAAAGAATGGGACCTAAAAATATGGAAAATTCTGTTTTAAGGAGCTGGGCTACAGCACACAAATCCCCACGCTGCAAGGAAAACAGAGTAAGAACTGACTGGATGACACAGCCAAGCAGGATAGTAAAAGACAGAAAGGAAAGTGTCTGGGCAGCTAAGTGATGCAGAACGTTGGGTTATTCCACCTTGCCAGCCACTTCTACCCAAGCCAATAATCTACTGGATTTGTATGAAGAGTGGATGGGAAAAAAGAATCTCTCTTTGCTCCAGGCAGAGAACTGGAAGAGCAGCTGCCCCCAGGGACCAAAACCACCTGCAAGACAGGACTGGGCAGGGGAGAAAAAGTCCAAGTGTCCAAGGGGGGGAAGAGAGCAGACAGCTGACAGCATGGAGGGACAAGCTGAATGTGCTACTGGATATGCAGGTCTTGTCCAAAAAGAACCCCAAAAAGCCAAGAAATAAAAAGCAAGGACTCTGCTGATTCTTGCTGCAGTGCTGGACACTTCATTTAAGCTGATGCCAGTAGCAGTTGACCTTAAAAACTCTCAACTGTTAATGAGAGCAGGGAGGGAGGTGATGATCTAGTGGCCCCCACAGCTCAGTGTGAGAGAACACCATCTCATGGGAACCCACCTAAATGCTTGGAAGTGATAATTAACATTAAATTAAAAGGCTCTGAAGCAAGGAGAGGTCCAAAGTGAGTAACCCTGCTATTTTAGCATGGTGGGATCAATGACAGAAGTCTAAGAACAGTTACTGTACAGAAGCTCTGCAAATGCCACCATGCTGGGGAGCAGACCAGAATATTGCTCTTGCCTTGCACAGCCATACAGACCTCAAGGATGCTGTTTTGGGATGACAGCCAGGACAGAGCTGTCAAGGAAGCTATCAGAGATGAGAAAATCCACCCAGAAATTTTACTGTATTCTTTCCAGAACAAGCTCTTATCATGGATTTTGAGATAAGGACAGTAAGCTGGTCCACGATGCAGTCCACCATATCTAGGTGGTCCAACTCCAGAGTCAGAGAACAGTCTCTCCTTCATTTTGGACCAAGGAGACTTAAATTGGAGAATAATGAGCAACTGCTACACTATGCAACCTTACAAGACAGGTCTCCTAGTGAACTCTAAGGGAATTAAGCACTCTGGGAGTCTGTACGACTGCAGTAGCACTCAATGGGGTGGAAAAACAAGGGCTTGTGTTTGAAATCTGCCTTGAGAAGTCAATTCAACAGATGTATAACACCATCACCATAGTACCATGTGTTGTGAGACATTGGTAGCTCCAACACAGACCTGTTCTCTCTGTTGGGTTAGCACCTGTAACACCAGGCAGAACAGCAGGTGTTGTGCCATTTTCTGTTTATATTAATGTATAGTGATGGCCTGGCCACAGATCACCTAACTCCAGGTCATTTACAAACAGGAATGATCTAGGCTACCCTCCCCCAGTGCAGTGGAGGCTGTGAAGCTGCTGAGGGGCTGGAGCATCTCTGTGCCAGGACAGGCTGAGAGCCCTGGGGCTGCTGAGCTGGAGAGGAGAAGCCTCAGAGGGGATCTGATCAATGTCTAAAGAGTGGGGGCAAGAGGCTGGGGCCAGACTCTGGTCAGTGGTGCCCAGAGACAGGACAAGGGGCAACGGGCACCAACTGGAACCCAGGAGGTTCTGTCTGAACAGGAGGAGAAACTTCTTTGGTGTGAGGGTGTCAGAGCCTGGAGCAGCTGCCCAGAGAGGCTGTGGAGTCTCCTGCTCTGGAGAGATCCCAAACCCTCCTGGATGTGACCCTGGGCACCCTGCTGTGGGTGAGCTGCTGGAGCAGGGGGTTGGACGAGATGATCTCCAGAGGTCCCTTCCAGCCCCACCCTGCTGGGATTCAGTGATTACGTGACCCTTTGTAAGTTAAGAATCCTCATCTTTGCAGAGGCAAAACGAAGTTAAGTAACTTGCCTCCTGTCCCACTTAGAATCTTTGAAGAGTTCAGATCTGTGGCTCCCCAGTCAGCACATTAATTAATCTGCTTTTTATGCATCAGGTTTCCAGCAGCAGCCAGAGCATATTTAGAGCTCCAGAGAGGCAGAGTTACCCATAACAAATGTATGCTTCAGCCTAAAATCACCTTCAAACAGGCCTATAGTCCTCATACCCCCTCCATTTGCAGATAGTTTCCTTTGCAAATCATCAGCTCTATTGGATTTACTGCTCATGTACAGTAAAACGAATTGTTTCCAAGATCAGCTAAATAATACCATCTGTATTTATGAGTTTATATGGTGCAGAATAGCCACATGGCTATTAAGAAAAAAAACCCAAACACTTAAGAAAAAAAGATGAAAATGAGACCAATAATCACCTCCTGTTGCAAAAATTTTGAAAACAGTATTTCCAGCTCAGAAAGGGAGGAATTCCTGCATGAAGAGACTAAATACCACAAATTAACCTGTCATCTGCTTTGAGAAAGAAGAAAATCACAGATCTGGCTGCACCAAGAGGTGGAGGGGAGGGGCAGGTAGGGAGATTTGATAGATCTCATCACTGGGAGATGGCTGCTGATGACAGGAGGGTTGATGCTTTGCCAGCCAGCCTTGTCTGAGGTGATCATTTTCCTTCTGAATCAAAGGTGAGTTCCAAACTGTGCCACAAACCAGAGGACCAAATCTCCTCTGATGCTTTCTCCACAGCCAGAGTAGGCATTCTTGGTTGTGTCTTCATGTTTATAAACTTCCACTCTGGTGTTTCCCCATAACGATGGCAGCTACTGAAATACTCAGAAAACAACCCCAGCCAGGCTAGTGCCTGAAACAGAGAAACAAGGAGCCACAGAAGATTGGTTGGCTGGCTGGTTGACTGTAAATGAATTCTCCTTGCTGGGTGGAGTGTGCTCTCCTAAAGGTGACCTGTGAAAAAATTATCCCACTGCTCCAAACATCTCATGCTTTCCCTTCAAAAAATCTCACAGGTTCCAGGCTTCTTTCTGTTATATTAAAAAGGAACCTGGGACCTGTTCAGTGCTCTGGATTCTCTACTGAAAACAAGATTCTAGCTTGAGGCTGGATTATTATACTTGAATTGTTCCTTTTCCCTCCAGTCTATTTGTCTGGGTTTACCTGACGTCCTGATTATAAACACCCAGGGAAGGGCCATATTTTAAGCTGCATTTGCAGAGCATCAAGTATTGTGGGTTCCTGGGCTATGCCTTGGACTTGCAGGTGATCTGGTAATACAGATAACAACAGATTGAAATTACCAGGCAATTAATTTTGGCTTGCAGCAAGCCACCTATTAGGGAAATGAATGGTACTTACAGGTAGCCAAAAGCATGCCTACAGACAAATTACACTATAATTACAATTTGGTATCAGTGTAGCTACAATACCCTTATTGCAAAGAGAAGCCACCAATTTTCCTGTGCCAAAACATTAGGCAAGAGCAATAGAGGTATGGACAGAGGTACAACCCAAAGGCAGGGATCAGGGGGTTTCCTGCATGCACTAAACCCCCAGCTCTGAGTTCTGATGACAACTAGTAAGCAGGGATGAGCAGCTGAGATGCCTTTATTCTTCCAGGCACATCTAGAGAGTGCCAAGATGCCAAGGTGCAAAACGAAGGACATTCAGAAGGGGAAGGGCAAGACCAACATCTGAGGCTTCCTGCAGAGCACCGTGCACACAGTCTGGTGGAGAGAGAAAGAGTGAGACTGGCATATGCAAAGGATTATACTTACATAGGCTCCCACAATGCTGCTCTTGGCAGCAACGAAGATGAGACAGATGAAGATGGCTGATCCTAGCATGCCAACAGCACAGACAAGAGGATCAGCTCGCTGGGTTCTTAACCGGCACCATTTGGTTGCCCCTGCCCCTGTGATCACACCCAGGAAGCCAGTGAAGCATGTGATTGCCCCGAAGATCAAGCTGTTACAAAAAGAAAAGAAGAAAAAAGAGGCTTTTTTATTTTTGCTGGAGTTTTTCTCAAAAATAGGCATGGTCTTTGAACGAGTTCTTCGGGTAAACTGGCCAATGGAAATCTGCATGTTGGGTTTTGCAAGTTTAAAATAAAACAAATGAGCTCCCCTGCTGAGTGCTTGGGAATTTAGGACTCTTCCCCTGTGGTTAAGGAAAACACAACTCAGGAAATCCAGCCTGGTACAGAGACATTGATCAACAGGCAAAGAGGTGCAAAGGGCTCCCACTGCTGCTTTGTGTGGAACCCAGCTCCCTGTAAAGTGCATTGTACAGCTAATTACATGTGCACCAACCCAACTAATAACCTGCACATTGGTCATGGAAGGGGAAATCAGGGACAGAACAGGCACTAGGAAACTGAAGAGAAAGAAAACCTACCAAGACTCTCAATACCAGTGATTTCCAACATACTTTGACTTCCTATGTCCTTTCAAAGAAACTTTCTTTTGCTGTTAGGTTACACATTTGAAATGTGATAATTTAAATTTAAAGAGCCAGGAGCTGTCAAGGATTCTCCACATTGCATGTTGCAGGGCTTGGATTACAGAGTCGTTGGCAGCTCCATTACAGCAGCTCCAGGGCAGCTCAAAATGTAGTTGTCATCAAGTTTTCCATGTCTTTTATTCACCTGGAGAAATGCTTTTTTTTGGCATTTTATGAGTTGTGCCATCGTGGTATAGCACAAAAAGATTAATTACTTTTCAAAGCCTGTGTGCTGCAAGTGATACTATATGGAACTGGAAAACCAAACCAGTGTGTAGCACCAAGCACTCCAGATCACAGCATCCCATACCCTGCACCATTCTGCAGCCAAACTCAGCCTACACAGCAGCACACAGAGCAATGAGACGCAGTGAACAAAAAGATTAATTACTTTTCAAAGCCTGTGTGCTGCAAATGATACTATATGACTGGGACTGGAAAACCAAACCAGTGTGTAGCACCAAGCACTCCAGATCACAGCATCCCATACTCTGCACCATTCTGCAGCCAAACTCAGCCTACACAGCAGCACACAGAGCAATGAGACGCAGTGAAATCCTCCCTCACACAGAAACAAAAGTCTTCAGGGTTTGTCTCTGCAGCCTTCAGGGGAACCAGTCCAACCTCTCAAGTGCAGCTACTGCTGTGGCTACACAACCTGCCAGCTTATTCTGCTATTACAGGTGAGCATGGGTCTTAAGAAACTAAACTCTCAGCTCTCCAAACATCCTCTAAGAGGAAGACAAAATTCCTTTTCTGCTTCTGCACCACAGCCTGGGAACTAAGAAAGAGCTGAGGTCATTGCTTCATGCAATGAAGAAGAGAAATAAAGCCTAGTTTACAATCCCAGCATTTCCTAGCATTGTTGCAAAGACCTAGAGGAAATGACAGACATTCTAGTGACTCCATTCTGTGGGACTTGCCTGCTTCCTCTGGTACCAAAGCCCCCACCCCCTTTTCCCCCCTCTTTTAAGGGGTGAAGTATGAATCTCACCTGTCTTTGGTGCCGCAGGGCTGTGAGCTGCAGGTCTCTGCTGTCTTCTGCACGACCTGTGCTCTGTGAAGGTAGAGAGGGATCCACATGCCCAGAGCCCCTGTGGCAAAGGAGACAGCTGAGGTGGCCAGCGATGAGAACACGTAGCTGCGGCTGTGGAGACACAAGAGGCAAACCCAAGAGAAGCTCTAGTGGGAGAACTCAAAAAGCAAGAAGCTCAGGCAGGAGTTTCAGGGACAAAACACAGCACTCCTTCATACCAGCCCCCTCCCTTTGCCAAGGGGCAGAGACAGCACAGGGTACAAAGGAATGGAAAATAAGAGGCATGGAATATTTCCTCACATGTGATGCTCCAGGGATAATAAGGTACTCAACTTTTCAGAGGTGCTTCATAAAGACCATTTTTCCCAGGGCCATTTCAGAAGATGCTCAGTACTCAGTACAAACCATGTGTGAACTGTAGGGCTTTCAACAAAATATCACCTGTTTACCTGGGTGACCAGTTTCACTTCTCCCTCCCCATCCATGCCACCATATGGTTACTACTTGACTAAATTACCAAAATAAGGAACACACAAGTATTGATAAATTAACCATGATTACTTTTCATAGTCCTTTGATGCTGGGTCACAACACCAGGAAGGCATTCTAGCCAGCAGTTCTAAAAGTTCTGATGTAACACTGAATTCACAAGAGCAGGTATTGTACATGCACAGGCAAGCTTCTGGAAGCAAGCACAGCTGCTCAAACCCTTGTGAGCTTGTGATCTAGTGGTGAGAGGAGTGTTGGGCTGATGGCTGGGCTTGATGATCTTAGGGGTCTTTTCCAACCTTAGTGATTCTATGCACATATGCAGCCAAGCACAATCAGTGCCCCTGCATCAAGTCACATGGAGTTGTATAAACATAGATATTTAAACATGTCACATAGTGCAAGCTTTTCTTCTCTTAAACTGCATTTAACTCTTGTTCCCCCTCAACAGAGCAGCTCTTTCAGGGAAGGAACTGGATCTAAGCATCTGAACAACAGTGGCACAACAATTAATTCAGGAACACAGCAACTTCTACACTTCAAAAGCCTTGATTTGTCTGAAGTATGAGCCAAACAAAGCAGACTCCCTCTCAGATCCCATCTTGGAATGCTCAGAGCACAAGTTGGAATCCATCATTATCAGTAGAGTCGATACCTGGTGAAAATGGAGCTGTGATTCTCTTTTCTAGCTCCACAGACCAAACTTCCTGCAACTCTGCATGTTGGCACTTGCCAGTGTCACAGTGCTGAGTACAGACCATTGGATGTTCCAGCTAAGCATTAGAGGCAAAGCAAGATTTTTACTGGGGTGCTCTTACTTTCTAATCAGTGCTTTCATGTCTCTTAGCCAGGAGGTCTGAGCCTTCAGCTGTGCCCCAAGCTGTTCAAAGTTCCCTCTTTTAGCAGCAGGTACAAATATCAAGATGAGTGTCCCTGTTATCATTCCCAGGAGTGGAGATACCTGCAAGGAAGGAAGAGGGAATTAGCACAGGAGTCAGCAGGGTTTGCTTTGACTGGTCAGTAAGCAGCAGATTACACCAGTTTCATTTCAGTGACTCCATTCTTTGCAGCTAGGTGGAATCTGAAGCACACTGAGGCATCTGCTCCTTCCTTCCTCCCTCTCACTCCCTGGGCTCTGGCATCTCACTCTGGAAACATGCAGCTTGGAGAATACTCTGATTAAGGCTGTCCATTTCCCAGTGTTATGAAAGGACCAAGATTCATCTAAACTTGGTTCTTCAGTGAGGTTTAGCTCTTTGGAAGTCTACTCCCAGCTGGGCTAGGAGCCCAACTAGTTTCTGGGAGAGTGCAGAAGCCTTTTAAAGGCAATGAGGCCAGGTGAAGGATTTCTGGATGTTGGGAGCATGCTGTCTTTGAGAGTCCTTGCTTGACATGCATCCCTCTTCCAGCCAACCCTCAATGGCTTCCCATTTTCAGGCAGCTATCTCAAACTACCTCAGTGTACAGCAGACCAAGAAACACTGAAAATGCAGGCTGGAAGATAGGAAAATAACATGTTCAGGGGTTAGGTTTCCCCATTTCCAATCCTTTCTCCCAGTCATTAGACAAAAATACAAAGATCCCATAGTGTTTTGCAAGCTACAAACAGGATTCCTGTTTTGACACTGAAATTCCATCATTGTCAGAATGGAAAATAGCTGTTAGGAAAATAGGAACACAGATTTTCACCCAACTATCATCTCTTCTGCACGTGCTATTTTAAAAATAAATCCTTCTTCCAAAAAAAATATGCTTCCAGTAATAACCTGAGAGTGGCCTTTACACACAGAGCAGCATTCCACGGCCAAAGATGACAAACTCAACATTCTTCTAGGGAAGGAAAGGCAAAAATATTCCAGAACTGGAAAGTCAGGAGAATACCTCATCCAGAGAGAAATGAAGGCTGATACAGAATTCTTATTACAGGTGAACACAAGGCACAGCACTGGTGGAAAAATGGAAATGCTGGGATTTTTTAGGGCCATGTAGATTAAAGTCTCTTTTATTTTTGTCTACAGGCTTAATCCCCCAACAGGACACCACCCACTGATCCTCAGTAATGCTCCAATGAAACACTGATGTTGCTGTAAGATCCAGAGACAAAGCTGCCACTTGCCAGCGTGCCCTTCTGTCTTCTTCAGCCTGCTGAAGTACAGATTATTCCTGACCTCTCCTGGATTTGGAGACCACATGAGAGAAGAGAGGGAAACATCACCTAGGGGAATCTTTCATTTCTTTCAAGAGCACAGCAGTTATCACAGGGATGGAAGCTGCTTTACATTGCTGTCTGAAGCTTTCAACATGTGCTGTTTGACTACAGAAACTAAGCAATGCAGTCCAAAGCAACCCCCACAGATGTGTGCAGCTTGTCAGGGGATGATGCATCAAAGTAGAAACCATCACCCCATAAGGGGCACAGTCTTGTAGACTGCCTGGGTTTCTCAGGATAACAACAGGGACTTCATCTGAAGAGAAAGGCACTAGTGAGGATTTATTTGCACAAATAAATGGGTTTTAAGTTTGGGTTTTACTGATTGATAGAAATACAGGAGCTCTCCCATGTATCAATCTTCATTAAAGCCTACTGACCAGGAGGAGGGGCTCTGGGGCTCCTTATTCCTTGTGCTGGCCTCTACCCTTAGAGAATTCCTGGTACTCAATGGGGTAGCCATCCTCTTGGTGTGAAGCTGTAGGCTTAAAGATGTTCCATGTCATGTTCACAGCTGGAAATGACTCTCCACTCTCCTAGGTGCAGATGGACCATTCATGGTGATTTTCACAACTTTACGCTTGCTGGACAGAGAGGGAATGGCTTGTGTCACAGAAGGGCACGTTTGCTTGAGATGGGAACCCATGTATTTCATCACCTGCTGTTATAAATGGTGTTGGCCTGAGATTCATGAGATTCATTGTCTTCATGAAGTGCCAGAGCCAGAGAATGCACCTCACGGGGGCTCATGCCACCCAGACTGCCAAAGGTCAGAAAACAGTTCTGCTGGGCCACTTCCTCTCAGCTCTTTCAAGACATCTTTGTGTGCAGAATCCGTTTGTGTGCATGTGATTGGAGTGTATTATCTTTTCAACACATTTATCAGGGTCCCAAGAGGTTAAAATAGAAGGAAACCGACTGTCTCAGGGCAGAAAAACAAGCGGAAACTGGAACAAAGTGTTTTTTCCTCAAAGCAGGAAGCCATTCTCAGAGTTTCTTGACAGCAGGGGACTGAGAGACCATGGAGTTGATTTAAGGCCAATGCCTCATCTTCCCATCCCCATCAAGAAATCATGGTTGACTGATAATAACAAATTCTTGGTCTCAGGCAGGGAGAAAACCAAGTACAATGAGCCAAAACCACACACCGTTCCCATTTGCTGAGAGAATGCATCTGCTATGCACTTAATATCTCTAGCTGTAACTTCCAATCCTTTACCTTCTCCATACAATAAGAGGTTGAGGGACTGTGTGGTAGAACTCTTCCTGACACCCAGCAACCAACACAACTGTTATTAAGGTGTTATTAAGGTGTTATTGAGGTGTTACTAAGGTGTTACTAAGAGCGGCTTACCCGCAACGCCCAGTGCCAGTCCCCAGCAACCTGCTTCACACTTGACCCAGTGATGTATCCCAAGCCACTGCAAGAAATACAGAGATGAGAGTCAGAAAGAGCTTTACATGAGTACCACAATCCCAGCTCTTCTTAAACCAAGGCAAAAAGATGCACCATCAATGTGTCCCATGCTCTCTGCTCCTGCAGGAAGAAACACGAGGGGTGAGCAGATGGTGGCTAGTATATAACTCTTCCCAGCACTGTTGATCTAAAAATGCTCAAATCTGATGGAAATTTGGACACTGATCTCAGATTTATAGCTGACCTTTCAATCTACAGTGGATGGAAACAAAGCCTCCAAAAGGATTTATGTCCCAATTTAATCTCTACATCAGGCCCTTCTGCACACTGATGGGAGTACTTAACAATTTTATGTTCAAGCTCACAGTTAGGAAGTGCCCTTCAAGGACACATCGTTTTCCATCATTAATTTTTTTTCTTGCCATTTAATAGCACTTGGTTCTAATTACCCATGAAGAGACCGTTTTTCATAAGCTTGTAAGAAAAACCAAGAAAAACATGCTGGACAGTCTGATGGGAGAACATCAGACCTGAAGCTTGGAGAGCTTCTCTGAAGGTAAAGGAGCAACAGGACCTTCAGCCACACACTAAAAATTACACTGTGGTAACAAAAGGTGGCTCACAAGAGACTAGATGAAGGTGAATGTAGTCTTCAGCTACATTCTTCTTGCTTCTCTCCAAGTGAATGGATGTGAACATCCTTTTCTCAAAACTGCTGCATTTGTTGCCTTCACTGAAAGTCACTGGGACTGCTGTGAGGCAGCTGTCAACCACCACAGGCCTTTCCTCAACAGTCTGCTAAGCTTTGGAGGTTGCCATCTATAATCACCTCAAAACTGGCCTTTTTACACAAACAGGCCCTGAAATCAAACCACAGATCCACTGAATTCTCTATGTAAATACCCAGCATCCTTGGCCCCCTTGGGAAAACGTTCTTTTCAACAGTTAAGGACCTGGCTATCTCTTTTTCCTCAAAATCAAAGGGGTTTGTGAGTTTTCTCTTAGAGATGAGTGCTCTAATTTGGAAAATGCTCCTCCCTCAACCAGAAGTTGTTCCTTGAGCTTCAGGGGGGGATTAAACTGCTGCCCACGTTTTCCCTGCTGGAGATGAACCCATGGTGCAGAGGATGTTGTCCAGCTCTGGGAATCGGTATGCAAACTATGTGAACCCACCCTCCCTACAACATCACAATAGAGGGTCAACCATTATTTAAAAACGTAAAGCTAATTAAAAAAATAATCACAGGTTCCCTCCTGTCCCAACAATCAGATACTGCATTGGGCTGATAAGGGAACTCAACTGAAAGAAAGTGCCAGAGGAAATAACTACTCCAGATCCAAGTCTGTCTCTTCCTCTCATCAGGAATCTGTGGGCTTGCCTGTCCTACAAGGCCTTGAGACTGAGTGTGAATGAGCACTACAGTTCCTCTCTCCAGCCCTGTCTACAACAGACTTCACAACTTCTCCCAATTGCCATTTCAGTGGCAAAAGCACTAAAATGGACTGGCCACTGCTACTGCGACTACCGACTGGCTAAGATGGGCTTAGCCACATTTTCCAAACTTAGAGTGGCCATATTCAAGTTTGGGTAGAATTTGAGCTTAAGCTAAAAATATTTTTTAAAGTCAAAACCTCAAATTGTGTATGTCATCTAGTATACTCCTCTTGGAACCTCTGATGTTGAGACTGTCCCATGGAAGCAGGTACCCGTTTGCTCACTTCTGAAAACTCAGCCCAGTGTCTTAAGAGATCTTGATTTCACAGTAACCTGAAAGACTTTGCCTAAAGAAGGCCTAGATCTCATGTGACTGAAGCAAGGATTCAGAGAACCAATATAACATTATTCAAAAGGATAATTTAATTTAATAATGATAAAAAAAATATTTTTTTTCCATTTCCACCCCATTGCTGTAAAAAAGAAAAAAAAACACAAACAAATCTTCCCACTAATTCCCAAAATTCACACATGAACCAGTAACAGGGCAAGAAAAATAACCCAATTCCTGTAAGTAATTAGTCACTGATCACAGTATTTTCCTGTCCAAACCATTCCAACCAAAGACAGAACGACCATCATTAGGAACTTCAGATCTGTCTGAGCTTACTTTTAAGAGAAAAGCCCAAACCAGATAAAAGAACCATTATGTCACTGACCTGCCAAGAGGAATTGCAAAGTAGAAAACAGACAGCATAAGGGTCCTTGTGTTTTTGGTGAAAAGGTCTCCTATGATGGTTGGTGCAATAGTGGAGTAACTTGCTTCACCGATGCCGACCAAGCCTCTTGAGAGCACAAGAAGCCAGAAATACTGAGAAAAGAAATAAAACACATTAATGGGTCTCCTCTTATAACCTTCTCATTCAGGATGGGCAACAATGAAATCTGCATGAAGAGGGAAATGTAAAAATAAGTGACTGGAAAGTGATTCCCTTGGATGCATTTATTTTTTAAAACCTCAGACTCATTTCATTTGTCTCTTGCTGGGAGGAAAGGGACTGTATTATTTGTGGAGATTCATAAGCATGAAAGAAAAGTAATAATATGACATGTTTAATCAGTGTCACTCAAGAGGATACTCTAATATAGGCAGAAGACCCTCAGTGTATTCTCAGGATGCAGCTCGCTCTTGTGAAGCCCAAGTGCCCTGACAGAGGGAGGTCTGGGGAGGAGGGTGGGTGACACAAACACTGCTCTGGGATCCAGAAAGAGCAATATCTGCTGAGGGCAATCCCAGCCCCCCCAGCATGCCAAGGGGTAAGTTCAGACTGGTGAGATCCAGAGCTACGAAACCTGCAATGCCCCAAACTCTTTTCTTTTTCCCCCTTCATTAGAAGCTACAGAACAAGAGAAGTTTTCCAAAGGTGTTAAGAACCTATCTCAGTCCCCCTTCCTTGAAACGAACTCTGCCCATCAGAGCAGGAAGGCAGAGTGAGCCAGCAGTGAGCAGTTCTGACCAACCTCAGGGTGCAGCCCGAGTTGAGGTGCACACAGTTATGAAGAGGCAAGACCAGAGCTCTCCTGGTAGCCACAGGAACCAGGCTGCAAAGGGAATTCAGCTGCTGGAGTGAGGAGCAACCCAACAGAACCTGGAGATGGGCTTCCCATTCAGCACCACACACCCTAACCTGGACAACAAGGACTTGTTCTTCTAATAGAGTTTTCTTTGTGGCCCGTTTCCTTGTTTCAGCCAATGCTTTTGTAAACTGCAAGGACCTGATTTTCAAGCTGACCTTTTTCACTACACTTGCAGTTTTCTGGGTGCTGCTGTGTGAAGGCATAAGGCACAATAATACATGTTTAAATACATGAGCACAACCAAGTTCTCAGACATCGAAGCAGCTTGAGCTACACCCAGAAATAATTGAGGGTGCAGAAATTAAACAGTCAATTGCAGAAAACTGTAAGCACAGGAAAACCTATTTCTGCAAATGTAACCTCTACAAATCCTCTATTTTACTCTCATTATTCTGTAGATCATTTGTGAGAAGAACTGCAGGGATCCTGACACACCCTCAAACACAAAAGTGCTTTGAGAACAATGAGCCATTACTGATTCCTCTTCTTCAGTGGTGAGAAGTGTGCAGGGAAGGGGCTGATCTGTGCCCTACAGCCAAGCTAAGCCAGAGCACAGGGCTCTCATTTCCAGCCATGGAAAATGCCATGCAGACACCGAGCCACGTGCCTCAGCCATGCATATACCCATCAGCAGACAAAAATCTACCACTGCCATGCTCTCATTGTCTTCCTCATTGTAATCCCCTGGCTGAAGGGAATTTTTTGAAGATTCCTACAGTCACACAAAGCAAATACTTTTCCCCACTCTTCACTTCCTCTGATTTTGACGTAAATTCTACATGAATACCTGTTGTCTGAGTGTTGACAAGTTCCTTGTTTGCTGGCAGGGTGTTTGTAGTGCTGCTATCATTCATGTACCTCCCATAAGCTGCACACAACGTAACAGATACACGTGGGTGTATGCAGAAAGGGCAATACTCTGACTCAGGCAATTTAATTTATGCTAATTACCCAATGCTAAACCACCCCACTGCAGAAATATGCTGACAGCGACGGGTGCACAGGTAACCAGTGGCTGTGGGATGAGTAACAGTATTCACAGCGTGCTGAATGACTTAGTCATGCAGAATTAGAAAGCAGAGGAGCTGGAGACTGATTCTGGGTTCTTAAGAGGTTCAGATTTGGATCGCAGAGAGGATGACAGCAAAACAGCCACCTGCCAGACTGGCATAAGTACGTAGACAGTGCTAGTTACACCTGCAGAATGACAAGTTTGCAAAGGCACTGGATGCTCTCCAAATGTGAAATACCTGCAGTAAAATGACACAAGTCTGTGCTCACCAGCCAGTATCGCTCCCAGTGAACGCACTGGACAGGAATTTCCTCCAAATAATAGTGTTATAATGTTCCTCTTACAATCCTCCCATAAGACAGGAAAACTATAGTTTCCCTATTGTGGGAAAGAGTGACTTGGCTCCATCGACACCATTGAATCAGAATCCCAATACAATGAAGTAACCTGCAACAAGTAACTTGTTCATTCTTCTCGCCCAGTTCCTCCTCAAATCCTCCCTTGTTTGCTTATCCCATCCTCACACACTCCAAACAGCTGTTTAATATTTAAACCACGCTCCCTGAAGCAGCAGTATCCAAATTTAAGTCATGAGATTCTGACTTCAGCTGGTCATAAAAGCAGTCTTATAAAAACATAATCTACATAAAGACATGAGATGCTCCAGACTATGGACAATGCAGCTCTTCAGGTGTAACATCTAGACAAAACACACAAAAGTCTAAAACAATATGAGCTCTAATTTTTTATCATGAGTTCTGTGTTGTGCCTGGTTTTATAGCTCTACATCTAGGATTAAAGAAGTAATTGCTCTTCTTATCCTGCTG